GTAAGCGCACGCAGCGCGGCTTCTCAGCGCCATCAGCGCACCTAACGTCAGAAATCGGAAACTGGACATTTTAGCAGGACATTTTAGCTGGACATTTTTACGTATTATTTTATTTATGGCGCGAGACACTACCGTGTCTCTTGATTAGACATTTCGACTTTGGACTATTATAACTTTTTTTCTACAGCACCTACAGTAAAAACAAGCATACTTTTCTATATAATTTGGGTATGCGCTATCGATTGAGCCTATTATCAACTCAATCGGCCCAGCCGTTATTGAGATCCGATAATCTCGGCTCGTCTCAACTTTCGGGCTCGCGTAAAGATACACGGTCGGTCTTGCGCTGCGCATGAACTTGGCGCGAGACACTACCGTGTCTCTTGATATGTCGAGGCAAACTTCTTATTCTCGGACGGGTCGCGTTCATTTTAATCGTCATAAACTTAACATGAAAATAAGTACACTCGTAATTTCTTTTAAAATAATTTAAATTATTATCAATAATAAGATTATCTTTACTTCGATAGTTCAACAATGAAAAAGTTTTGACATATAATCAAATCACACGATTATCACGTAATATATTTAAAAAACGAAATAAAAACTTTTGCTGTACTGCGAGAATATCTATATTTTCAATGCGCATATATGTTGAAACAGGAAACAGGAATATGAAAACAGGAAAGATGCTAAAGTACACTATCTACGCGAAGCGAATAAAAATACGCGTGAGATTACTTGAGAATGTAAATAGTGCAGTGACATTACATATAACCGAATGTTACGAAGTTTTCGTAACCGCGAGTGTGTCATGCACCTATCTATCCACACTCGCACGATCCGTATCCATTATAAAACGAAAAGCATAAAAATGCAGGACCAAACGGCGGGACTTGCTGCGAATGAAAAATTCATCGAAAACATTCATACGTCGCATGTTACCGGCACGGCCGGATAAAAGCTTGATCGACAATTTCGCGTAAATAAAAAATGGCTCAAACGCGAACGAAAAATAAAACCAGAGCGCGGGCAATATTTCCTGGCCAGTGCGTTTCATGTGGATAACGGATCGATCGTTACACAAGCCGCGAATCTGTTTTCTGCTGTGTATCAACGAGCTATCCGCGCCCACCTCAGTTCACCCTCATGCATGAATTACGATCAATATAAATTGATAAACTGTTATCGGAAACCGCCGGGCGCTCCTACGCTTTTGGATCGTCTCGTGAATCCTACCGTTTCTCTCCATTCTCCTCGGACGAGGTTACGCTCCTCTTTCTGCGGATCCAGGTGAATAACCACCTCGTACCTTCGGCAAGGCCGGCTATCGTCATTAACCGGAATCTTTTCAGCCGGAGTCCCCGACCGCGCGGCGCGACCGAAAGTTCAAGCTGAGCCCAGATTCGTAAACTTTCTAGGAAGCCTACTATGGCAATTAAAGCGAGGTTTTGTAGCAGGTAAACAAGTTTTCGCCTATCGTAAATCATTTGAAATAGGAATAATTCTTGGTACGATTTTACCGTTAGGATTTCAGAAATTAAAATGCGAAAAATTGGACATTGTTTTAAAAATTTTCTGGAAAGCCGTTTAGTATTATATTTTAACTTTAAATTTAATTGCAATAAATCAATGCTGTTGATTAAATTACGAAATAAAATATTAAAGTGTTTTTAAAAGTGGAGCACAAAAAATTCTCGATAATCGATTATTACTTTAATATCGGTGATATCTGTATTAAATGTTAACAACCATATGTTATAAACCAAATCTATTTTCGATACAATCGTTGCAATAACGAAAGTTCTGGCTGTTAAATTTTTTTTTATTATAAATTAAAAAATTATTGAGACTCAAATATCAGCAAACATCAAAATCAACACAAAAAATGTTTTACTGTAAAAGAAATAATCGGTAACAATTTTAAACTTAATTATTTCAAGTAAATTAAGTCGTTAAGCAAAAGAATTGTGAAAAGTAATAAACTAAATATGTACATTCACAGATTTATGTAATTATTCTTGCCAAAAATTTGTACGATAATATAATCAAATTAAACATGTGAAGCCCACGTGCCTATGACAACGTTCTAAACGGAATCATCAACAAGATCATTAACATTAGATTAAAATTCATAACGGTATGGAAGCGTGTTCGTGAAATTGATTTCTACTCATCTAACATTCACCACATCGGGAATTACCGTGATGCTCACGGCAAAGGTGAAGCGAGACGATAATCCGCGCGCTTTCCATCTTGGAGGTAAAAGATCGAACGGGAGACTCGAGGAGGGGGCCACAAGTGGTCCAATCTACCGGTCATGAAACGGTTTCATGGAGGAAGGTGGTGGACCAGGCCAGGCCGCGAAGGGACGACAAGACGACGCTGTGCAGGCAGGTTGCCCGCCGGGGTCGACGTCGAGCAGGTGCACCTTTCTCGCGCAGAGCAGAGCAGACAAAGGGCCCCAGAAATCCTCCTGGCGACCGGTACTCCGAACAGGAGGCTGGCCGCAGCAATGACGCCAAACCCGATGGATTCCGCCGGCGGACGAATTTCTCGAGTGAATAGATGCCTGGCCGCCGGATACGATTTGCTATGGAATTTCACGCCATTGTGTGTTCGGGGTAGTTGCACCGGCCCCGAGAGAGCTAGCCGACATAGCTCGAAATCATCGGGATATTTAAAACTGCCCTGGTCAGGCAGGTCGCTTGAAATATCATTCTTCGGGGAACTTTTTAATCCTCGCGCTAAGGAAACAAATAACGGAGCTGGCCCTTCTTTCTCAGATCAAATTTCCGAAATTTTCTTTCATTGCAAAAAGTTTGAAATTTTGAAAGTAATAAAACACAATTCGCCGATTATGGAGCTGCGATTAATGTTATTTTTCGTAAATGTTGGTTAATAATTAATAGATTGACCGAAATCGCAACCACCTGTTCAAAACACCGGCATCATAAAGGATTTCATCAAAATCATCAAAATAATCATATAGAATTGAAGATAACGACGTCCCGCGCCCTTGCACGCCCTCCTTCGCTCGGAAGTATTATATTCTCGATATGAGAAGGTACACCATCATCACGACGCGCGAGAATCGTTACGTGCGCCGCGCGATCGCTCGATCGATCGATGCCGGTGTGATGGAGGATCCACGCCCGGCGCGGATAGCCGTGCTACCAAAGCCGCCACGTGCAAGCGGATAGCAGTTCGCCTTTCACGGACGACTACTCCTCGCGCGGACCTGCAATCAGGGCAAGATTGTAGACATCTGCCGGCCATCTGCCAGCGGAGGCCTTCCGGAGGGCCGGCGACCGCGCGCACTCCTGTCGTTCTTCTACCCGCTTCGCGTCCCTCGCCTATCTCGCATTACAAGGTGCGCGAGCGCGCCGAAATCGCACGCACGCGGTCGTGCGCGCAGATTTGTAGCGGCTCCTTCTTGTTGCTCGTCGCTGCGCGCGTCGAGATTGCATGCGAGCAAGGTGCAATCCAAATTTATGATATGAACGTGTGCGCATATATACAGGTATGCGCTCGACGCGTTTCCAATAGATACCGAATACCCCACGTCGATCTGTTTGCACCGCGACATTGAGGAAATTGGCAGGAAATGTGCGGAAATAATTCTCTCGCAACTGATACTCTACTTGAACCAATAGCTTCTCACCTATTTTACAAATTTCTGAGTTTTGTCACGCAAATTTTTAGTGTTTTAAATCGTTCAATCCATTTTCTCAACTTTCCGATGTCTGTCGTACCTTTTTATATGCTGTTTTTGTTTCAACAGTGTGGCATGCACGGAATGTCGATGTAATGGGATGATTGTAACATTATTTTTATTCGTGTGAAAAACATGTGCATCGCGCGAACTTCTGCGATTCATACCGAGCAAACAACTTTCGCAATTAACTCGTCGACGCATTGCGTCGTTAGAGACGCAATGACGATCTCGATTTGGCTTCGTCGCCGGCAGGCCAGGTGTAAAATCACGGTGCCGCCGAGCGCCAGGTGTACATAACCCGGAGCGGAGGTGCGGAATCAGGCTCTCCGCCGGTCGGCAAGATTAATTTAACGACCGGCTCGTGCAGAACCATAAACTGCGCTGAGGTTAATTCCTAATTAGCTCCCCGCGGTCTGCGCGGGTCTGCGCGTATCTCAAAGCGTGCATACAATGCGTATGCAAGCGTAACGCTTTGGGAGACAACTGCAGTCTCGTCCGGAACTATGGCGGACCCTTGACCACCGATGGCGTATATCAATTAATCAAATGATGGATTAAATGCTCAATTTTATCGCGAATACTTTGATTAATCGTGGAGAAATAATTAAGGATTCTCGAGCATCGTCATTGCTACGCAATGTTGTCGTCATTGTGCGTTGAAAATGATTAAGGACGAATAATAAATCATCGAAGTAATCACAAATGTATTACAAAGTCGCCTCGCGTACCTTATTTCTTCGCATAAATATTTTCTTATGCAAAAATAATGAGTAACAAAGATAAAATAATGGAGTTTAATGGGAACATTGCTATCGCAAATTTCTGCGTTCTCTCAGCTTTTTATTGTCTTTTGATCGATAATTAATTTTACCGCCTTTACGAATGATATTCCCGTCACGCTTTCCCGAATCCATAACCCGAAAGTCGTATAACGTATTCGTTGTATGTGTGGCCAACGACATCGTGGCGACCAGCACAAATAAAGCACAGATGGACGAATGGACGGATAGACGAATGGACAAGCAGGGACGGTGCTATATTTTTAGACTTCTAACTACCGCAAACCAAGTTGCATTACATTGCCATGAGCTCACTCGAATGGATACATAAATAATAACGCGCAGAAAATTTCTGTATGTCGTAAGAGAATATTAAGAGTCGCGTATCTTCTTCCCGTTATGAATTTCCAGTGTAATTATTTAGAGAATATTCTTCTTAATTAAGAAAATATTTCATAAAAGGCTTTTAATCGCACGGACTTCATTAATACTGAAAATTATACAGTTCTGTACAGTTAAGCTTTACACGGATGCAAATAGGTAACAATTTCCTCGATCATATCGCAACCGAATTGAAAAACTGCACGACATCGCGATTCTCAATTTATCATAAGACGTGAGAGACACCTTGTATCTTAGAAATAATTTACGGAAGTAGCGTGCGAAATTCATTCTGTCAATCAATACTTTCTTTTTTTTTAGAAATAACATGGAAGATTATACGATCTAATTAGCTCTCTAGATTTATAGCAACTATTCAATCGCGTAATTGCATAATCATGAAGACTTTAATGGAATCGGGAAGCGTGCGAGAAGTGCGAAATTAGGGATACATCCAATTTGCATTTGGTTTGTCGGGGCTCGTCGCCATCATTACATAACGGTGGTGTAATAACTCAATAGATCTTTCGAAGTCGCTCGAACGCTCGTACGAGGTGTAATACCCGGTAATTCGCGTAGGCAATATGGGGCACTTACGACACTACACGTACATACCTATATGCGCGAGAATCGTCGTCGTCGTCGTCGTCGCCGTTGCACGCCGCACGCCGACCGCCGCCTGCAAGAAAAACCTCAATTTAGTTTATAGTGTCAATTGAATGAACAGACGAGGTACATGATTTATTTTTAGACCTGCATCATAGGGGACTCCGCTGCATTAAGGTCCGTTTATACATATCCGTACCGTATCCGTACCGTGTCCGTATCGTACACGTCCGTGCACGGATGCTAGATTCGATTCCATATGATTAAATGTAAGTATTTACACTATTCCGTATCCGTGCCGTCCGTGTCCGTACCGGCACCGCAGATATCGTTGGCGACGATATTTTCACGGACCGGACGGCACTGAACGTGTCGGTACTGACAAATGTAAATAGGCTTCAGTGTAGCATTCAGATTTTTGAGTCTCATTTTGTATCAATCTGCGATATCGAGAGCATTCTTTTAAAATAAAGAAATGGATTATGATAGAATTATTTCAACAAAATTGATAGAATTAGTGCAACAACACATCGAATTATACGACCTTTCCCATCCAAAATATCTTGATGGAATTTATAAAGAAAAACTGTGGCAGAGTATTTCTCAAGAACTTGACCAACCAGGTAATTTTACTCATGATAAATATTATTTTACAAATAAATTTTTATATTCATTAAACATTATTTTATTTGAAGAAAAAATACACAATTCTCTTCAAAAATTTATACATATGTAGGAACGTGTTTTCGCTAGCCGGTTCTCTCCATCTTGTATATTGTTTTCGTATTTTATTATCAATTAAATTGAGTAACACATTAAAAGCATGTTCTGACATTCTAAAATATTGATAAAATTTAGTTGCATCATCAAAAAATTTTTTATATGTAAAATGTAAAAAATTCATCTTTTGTTTTTCGTTTTGTCC